ACTGGGGCCAAGTGTCACTTCGGTGCTGGGTGCGGGGCTTGCCCCGTCAGCCTCCGCCACCCCATCACAGCACTGTATTATTTGGGATATGGAAAAGGAAGAACATGAAGGTAGAGATGTTTGTAAAGCAGAAAAAAATAAATGTTACTGTTTTTGTAGAGTATGCCATCAAGAAAAGACTTTAAAGAAGATCTACGAACAGTACTGTGCTGAAGCTAGCCTAATGCATAACTTGTTAATGGAAGTGATAAGAATAGGAAGACATAAGCTGCTTGATTAGCCATTCCATCAAATTAAATTATTTCTTTGCAGGGTTTCAAGTCACTGATTCAGTTGCAAACAATCTATTTCTTTCAAGAGATTCATAGATTTAAAGAAATGCTACCTCTTCAGGTGTCACTCTCCTAGGTTTAAGCAAACAGTTTTAACATTAGTTCCATTATCTGTTTCCCTAGAGCATGTGCTGTTACTTCAGTTGTGCTTCTATCACTGGCGACAAGGAACATTTCATTAAAAGAAGCATTTTGAAAGGAAATAATATGATCTGTGAAAAAAAAGTTTAGTATTAATATTTATTAAAATATTAGTATTCCAGTTGTTTTGTATTACTCATTCACAGACATATCCCTGTAATTTGGGCCCAGAACTGAACCTTCCCCCTCATTTGTTTTATTATGATGAACATCTTCACTTCTTTGTTTTCTTTCTTTTCTTCCCTGTCCTGCCAGGTGACTATTTAAGACCTTCGGGCAATTCCACTTTTAACTTTAACAATGTGTCTTTCCTTCAATGCTGTATTTTCCACACTTTAAATTGAACCATAAAGCAACCACCAGCACAAATTTAGGACAGCTCTGTTGTTCTACAGTCATATGGTCAGAAACATATGAAGCCTCCTGTGATGGGATGCGATCACAGAAGACACAGCCCCTCTTGGGGCTGCTTCCTAATGTGCTGACAAAGCTGCTGACACTCACTTGCTAGTTTTTTGGGGCTCCTAACCACTGTGTCCTGCTGGGCCAGATCTTCTGGTCTCCCCCAGACAAGGCACAGAGCTGAGACTTCTGCCACTTTCCCGCTCCACCCAGCACATCACAACCCGAGAGCAATGCACACACTGAATTACTTCTGCTCTAAGGAGAATTCAGAACCCCCCCCCCTCCAATGGGATCAAAACCCCAAATAAATCCGTCTTTCACTGTGTGAGAGTTTTACACAATGAAAGAAAGATGTATATGGTGATTTCTCCCCCAGGTAACACTTATTTACACTAGGCTTGATAGTAAATGAAAGTAATATTATTAAGTACAAACAGTAGGATTTAAGTGGTTGCAAGTGAAAACTTGACAGCAAAGTAAATTACAAATGTAAAATAAAAACCACATAACTAGTTCTAACACACTAAAACTTATTGCAAACTTACCCTAGAACTGTTCTTATTTTGGCTAAACCTACAAGACAAGGAACATCTTTTCTCCCTGGGGTCGTTGGCTATTTTCTTGGGTGTATCATGCCAGCCAAAGATAAAGAAACAGAAGACTTTGCATCTTAAATAGACTTCCTTTTGGGCGAGAATTCCTTGTTTCCACATTCACTCCTTCCACGGAAAATTACCTGGTCAGACCCTGCCTGGTGGGGTGGCCACATGTCTTCCTAAAACCAACAATCTCTTAGACTTAAAGGAAAAAGGAGGCTGTTCTCAAGTCATAGGGTGTGTCTACACTACAGAGTTTTGTCGACAAAAGTGGACTTTTGTCGACAAAACTATACCTGCGTCTACACTACCGCTGAGTTCTGTCAACATAACGTTGACAGAACTCAGCAGTTTTGTTGACACTGCTAAACCTCATTTTACGAGGCATAACGCCTTTTGTCGACAGAGTTCTGTTGACAGAAGGTATTACTGCATGTAGGGTTGTGTCTAGACTACAGGGTTTTGTCGACAAAGCAGCTTGCTTTGTCAACAGAACTGAATGTAGTCTAGACGCTCTTTGTCGACAGAAGTTTTGTCGACAGATACTGTCGAAAAAACTTATGTCGACAAAAGCCTGTAGTCTAGACGTACCCATAAAGTTGATCACTCAGCATCAGAAACACCCTTAATGGCTTTCATTTGCACATTTAAAACTAAAACATTCCATACACCATATTTCTAACTTTACATACAAGAGTGATATATAAACAAATAAGAAATACAGATCCAGGAGAAAATGACCTTAAAATTGATAGGTTACATGAAGTATTTTGTCCAAAGCATCTCTGACTTATGCATATTTGTAACCATAAGACAATTTCATAAAGCATGGGTGGGAGGAACAGTCACAGCATTCACCTCATACCATCTTCATCTTTTCTTGTTCCCAAATGCATTACCAAAAAGTTTGGTTTTACCATTAATTTGCTTTGCAGATACACCTTTAAAATGTGGGGTGGGAGGACAGTCATTCAAGGGAAAAGTTGTGGACTAAGGGTATGTAAGATGCATCCTTGATCTTCTGTAGGGGCTGCGTACATCATAGTTCATAGAAAGGGGGGTGTGCAGCTTCCATGTAGCCACCACTTCCGTTCCCATACAGGAGGCTTACAGCAAGGGTAGGCAGGGACAAGGTGTGGTGGGGGCCTTGATTCTGGTTCTCCTGGTGGCCAGGAGGGGGAAGCAATCTGTACACATTGACAGGCTGGTGTGTAGATTGCTTACCCCTACAGCAAATGTGCCTTCAACTCATAAAAATGTATGTATTGCAGCCTGTGCTAACTGTATTTGCATATAATGGAATCAGAGTTGCCTTCTAACATACATGTACTCTCTATTCTTCGTTTTCATTTGCAGGTAGAAAAATCTTAGAATTTTTTAAATAACCCTCATGACCTTGAGTCATCAAGCTTATGGTGTTATCCTCTAAAGTGGTAGGAGCAGGCAGTTACTCCTGATGTGTTGATGTGTCTTGCCTGGTGTATTGTAAACCCCTTTAATTTGATGGTTGCTCTCTATTTTTATTTTGTCATGGTTAGCTTCCATTGTACTTGTTTTTCTCTCTAATAGCCCCGTAGTAGGTGTATTTTAGCAGCAGCATTCCTTCTTCTCCATATCCTTCACTTTCAATGCTCTTCTCAGTACTGTCATCTTGTTAATATTTGTGCCATCTTCCAACAAATATCCTGTGTTTTGTTCATCATCCCTTGCTTCGTTCAGCAGTTACCCTACACAAGAGGCTTAGACATCTAAGTAAATACTAGTGTATATTCAGATCATTATAGTACCTATAGCTACAGTCAGATTTTTCAACTCGTGCTCTTTCACATCTTACATCCAATTCAGGTGTTGAATTTGCTGTTATCTCAGAAATCATTTCCTGGCAACTTAGGTTAGTGACTGACTCCTTTTCCAAGTGCTCAGTTTCCCTTGATGTAGCTGGAATTTAATTTCCTTTTCAGTTTGCTTTTGAGGTGAGTCATACAAACATGGTGATAATTCATGTAAATACACATTTGCCATTTGATTATCTTAGTTGATTGAACATTAATTTTATATTATTGCAGATAGAGTATGACCATAGGCATGGGGTGATGAAAAGCTGCCTGCTCCATCTTGCATCCTATTCTTCCCTGTTCTTCCTCATTCATTTCTTGTTTTACGATGCTTTGCCAACGCAATGACTTCAGAAATCTTTCCAAAACTTAAGTGTCATTTGAAGGGCATACTTGCCTAGAGAGGGGGAATAAGGCTGTCAGCATGAAAAGAAAACTGAATAACTTTGTTTATCTGACAGATCTACAGCTGAACAATGTTTCTTCCCATGAAATGTATATTATATTTCTAAATAATAGGCTTTGATTCACTCTGTGCTTATTTTGTCATGGAGCATCCTGGTGGCAAAAAGACCCTCTGGAAGGTGGGTTGTAGCATTGAATGACATGTAGAACCTCCTTTCTTGTGGGTTCCCGCTGCCGGCCACTACAGCTACAAAAGCAGTGGCCAAACATAGGTAAACGGACACTTGGGACATGTGCGGATTCAGTGAATCTTCTGGGCAGCTGCTGCTGGCATTGCTTCTGGGAAGCCCTGATTGCAACTTACAGTTCTCCTCCCCTTATGAAGTCCCCAGTGCAAATGAAGTGTTCCCTTCTCTGCCACTGGATTTCCATTTGACTAAGGTGTCCCAGCTGGCACTAGGTGATACCTTGTGCTCTTCTTTGTGCCAACAGCGGGAACTGAGCCCCCAATTTTGATACTTTTGCTTGAGGTCACCAAGCTAGTGAAAAAGTGACAATTTTGCCACCAGCAGATGGGAGCTGTATAGACCAGGCCAGTTGTAATTCACAAGAGTTTTACAGCTTTCATACTGAATGATATGGTGGACTCTAACCTCAGAGGTCCAACTGAATTTTACTGTATATTTTTATTACCTACAAATGGCACAAAATACATCACACCTAATGTTTTATCTCCTCATACTTACCATATAGATACCCTCTGTCAATATTACAGCTTTGTTGTGTCATTGTTCATCTTTTCAGGGCATGCTTTATGGGTATCGCCTTGATTCTCTCTCTTTCTCTATGTAGTGGCACCAAATCACACTGGGGTATGTGAAACTGCATCTCATCAGCCCTGCCTTCAGGTCCTTACTCGGGCAATATTCTCACTGACTACATTGTTGGTTTGTCTGAGCAAAAACCTGAAAAAAATCAGGCCTCAGATCTACACACTGGGTGAAACCCTGGGCTCAATGGATGGATGACTTCAGTGGGGCCAGGATTTCACCTCAGAGCTGCTCTAGCAGAACTGAATGTTGGTTTTCTTGGTGAAATTGGTTAGATTCTCGCAGGAGCTTGCTGTGCTTTATTCACAATAGGCTGATTCCTGGCCAGGTTAAAATCAGTGGGAGTTTTGCCATGTCCTTTAAAGGACCCACATTTCATCCAATTCACCTAGTAAGCGGCACTGGAGTACATGAGCTGAATTATGTATAATTTGGTTTACTTCTTTTAATTTGTAGCTACCTCATCCCTGAATTCCCAGCTTCAGCAACTTCAGCATCTTCAACAGCTCCAGCATCAACAGCAGCAGCAACAAGGGCAACAGCAGCAGCAGCAAACAAGCCAGCAGCAGCAACAAGTGCAAGAGACACAACAAGCCCAACAAGCGCAGCCACCACCGCAGCCGCAGCCGCCACAGCCGCCACAACAGCAGAACCAAACACAGCCCCAGAACCAGAGCCAACAACCGCCAGCCCAGCAGTCCTCAAACTCCCCTCAGAAACCCAACCAGTCACCGGGACATGGCCTTCCATCTCCACTCACTTCTCCAAATCCGCTGCAGGTACGATGGTCCCTGACAAGTAAAAATCTTGACTCTAGCAACAAATAGTAAATTTCACTCCTCTGGAAGGCAGCAATCCATTCACTGCAGGGAAAATAAAATGAACCCTGCATGTTCTAAGCATACATGCTGATCAGTGTCAGCTAATTTGAATCAATCCTTTCTGTGCATGTTGCTTTAAGCCAAAAGCCTGTAACTTGGGAAACTGGAGAAACAGAACAAGTGAAATTCCTAGACTGTTTGCTTCTGAAGGGTAAATATTATCTCTTGCTCCAGAAACAAACATCATAAGCGCTCAGGTGAACAGGACAAATTCTCCTCTAGTGTAACTCCACTGGGTTTGTGGATATTACATCAGGAATCAATTTGGCCCACCAATTGTACCATCTGCTATTTTTCTGAAAGTAGCCAGTTAGTTATTATGCTCCTGAAATTAATCATTATTGTACATTAAGAATTGTGCTGTCAACATAATTGTTCAGCATGCTTTAGATTCCAATAGTTCCAAAAAGCTTCGAAGCAGAGGGGATGAAAGATATCCTTTGTCTCATCTTCACATTTTATTGTTAGTCTTATGAAAAAATACAAGCTATATTAAAGCAATATTGATAATTCTATGGCAGACTATAAATCCAAGGTTAGTTCCATCTTTAACTACTCACCTCACCGTTAATGTCTGAAATGCTGGGAGCAATAATAGTTACAGTGACTGGTGACTCTTTTTGTTTTGCATAATGCCTTTTTTAGACACATTGGTAGACCTAACTGTGTCTACTAATACAGACTATGTGCGCCTCACCCTTCTCTCAGCTACTCTGGTTGTACAGTGGTGTAACTCCATTAAATAAAGTAGAGTTAAACCAGGGCGAAAGGAGAATCATGCCCACAGCACTTAATGATCATATAGAGAGTGTTATTGTGCATCATTTTTAGAAGTGTTAGAAGATGAATATGCAGTACTGCAGACATAGGGCTATATAAAAAGACATAACAAGAATTGATGTTTGGGAGTTAAAACCAAAGACATGCAAATTAGAAATAAGACACAAATGTTAATGGTAAGGGGAAATTAATTAATGGGACAATTGACCAAAGGTTGTGATGGATTCTCCATCTCTTGATGTCATCAGATTAAGATTTGGATACCATTTCAGAAGAGATGCTTTAGCCAAACTCATTATTGGACTCTACATAGGAGCAACTGGGTGAAATTTAATACACCGTGTCACAGTGGAGCTCAGACTAGAATCTAAGGGTCCCTTTAAAATGTATGAATATCAGCTAGTGTGTGCGAAAATTTTAAACAGACCTCTACATCTTTACCTTCTGGGGAACGAGAACTCACACTAACTTCAATAGTGCAGGAACAAACCCTATGTGCCTAAATATTGCATTGTAATATATATAGTTTGCTGCTATTTGGAAATGCCTCCCATTTGTAGAGCTCACTGACATAATAGGCTTACAACTCCATCAAGATCCCATTGGGTACCTTATAATTAATTAGATTGATGACTTGAAAAGGTATTGCTGGATATTACAACTTTGTTCAAAATATTTCTTCAGAAGAAAAAAGTATATACAGTAAAACTCCAATAGTCCAGCATCCAATAGTCCGGCACTCCTGATAGTCTGGCATCAAAATGGCAAGAGCCTAGTGAGTGAGCTTCGGCAAAAAATGAGTCACAAGGTAACAGCGGCAGCAGCTGAACTGAGCAAAATGGGTAAAAAAGGCTTAAAAAAACCAAAACATTACAGTATACTGTATACAGTATGTACAATAAAAAGGGTTAAGAACACTTTATATACAGTATATAATGTATACAATATATATATAACCGGTTTATAGTACCTCCTGACAGTCCGGCATATTTGATAATCCGGCACCACCTAGGTCTCATAGGTTCCGGATTATCAGAAGTCTACTGAAGCTGTATTTTAGCTAGAGGCTGGTGAAGAAGCAGTGCTCAAATCCCGATTAGGGTTGGGCATGATGGGACCAAAGTCTTGCAAGCAGTCCCACAAAGTTTTGTTTAAAAAGAAAAAACGGCTTCTCAAGATCAATCATTCTTACTTGAATTTCATCATCTTGGATCCAAATCCCACAAGAGCAGTTTTGACTGTACACACAACTTTGACTATAAATGCACAAAGGGAGATATCTGGAGTAAAGAGGAGTTGTTTTTATACATCCATTTCTAAGAGTAGAACTTCAAACAACAGCTAGAAATACAGCCGCAAAAGTTTTGGTTTGCTTTATTTTATAAACTTTGCTATTCCTCTTTTAATGCTTTGTCCAAACAATGGTTTCACCTTGGATCTTTAACTCTATATTAGCTTAACAATTTTAAAATGTTTTTTACACAATTAACAAAATTGGTTTAAATGAGACATTGGCCTGTCCAATCATGTCATTGAAGCTAAACTACACTGTGAGCCTTTTTTGCAGCAAAGCATAATGCTCCTAGAGCTCCTATTGGGTACTGTGTTAAGGGCTACTTAGTGCACAGTCCATCATGTTAGAGAGTGCTCTGGGACTCTTTAATATGCAGATTATTGACACATGGAGCCAGAAATAGCTCCAAAGGAGTTGCTGTTACATTTTATTGTCTCAGTGCAGCTGTCATGCCTGCGCACTAAATACATTTTTATATGCTACTAAAAATGTCTGTTAAATAGTTGCTTTGGAAGTTAACATGCATTTGGTCTTCTAAACAAAAAAAACTATTTTTTAAAAAATTCTGTTTGTTAATTTCCAAAGTATCTCAAATACAGCTGAGCCAAACCCAGGCTGTTTCAATCTAGGAGCCTTCACATTTTGTGTGGGCTTGTATTTCAGTTCCTCAGATTCAAACCCACTTGCCAGAGTGCTGGCTGCAGGTCAGACAGATCCAAAACTGTGAAGGCTGTATTTTCCAGCTCTAGTAAAGAGGAATCCAAATCCTTATGTCCTTCTGAGATTTCCATTAGGTAGGAGTAAGATGTGATGAGAACAGTTTAACAGATGACATTATCGAGTCAGAATTATTATAATTATTATCATATTATCCTTGAATTAGCCCTGATACAGGGCTACATGAGGCAAACTGAGGTGGCCGCCTCAGGTGCCAGACTGGGGGGGAGGGCCACTAGGACCCAGAGAATTGAGACCTTTCAAAGTTTTGGCCCAAGCGAGTAGGCATGGGGGCGTCATTTGAGCTCCCCGCCTCAGGTGCCAAAATGTTCTGGCCCAGCCATGCCCTGATGTGACCTTGAATCTTAAACTGAGCCTAATTTGGATCTGAACACTCCCTCCTAGGTTCATCTCTGATCAAAAGCACAGCCCAATATGACTGCAAAGTTTTAGCATAACACAGTCATTTTTTTACTTGGCGGAGTACCAAAAAGTATGTCACAGCAGGAACTTCTCTTTGCGTGAGATACTTATATTGTCCACATTACCACTGTATTTGAGCACCTTGCAATCTTTAATGTAATTATCCTCACAACAGGGAACATTTTATAGATGGTGAATAGAGGCACAGAGAATCGTGACTTGTCTGAGGAAACACCAGAAGACTATAGTGAAGCACAGCAGAACTGTACTTGGATCTCCTCAGTTATAGGGCAGAATCCTAACCACCTGCCTTACTCTGTCTGTCTGTCTGTCTCTCTCTCTCTCTCTTGAATTCTTTAAGTTTAAACATAGCTGACCCATTCTTTTTTATTTCAATGTGTTTTTAATTAATTGTGTGTAGTGGTATCATGGTAACATATAGATGGTATCATAAGAAGTTAATTGTGCCCACGAAAGCTCATGATACCATCTACATGTTTTGTTAGTCTTTAAGGTGCTATGATAACTTCAGTAGGACTACTGGCATACTTAATTAGACATGTGTTTAATATGGTCTAGTCCAGGGGTGGGCAAAGGGGCATCTGCAGTCTGGGTGTGGTCTGCCCAGCAAGTGGATCCGGCCCATGGACGCACTACCACTCCCCTGCCTCCCAGGCCAATCAGGGTCTGGGGATGGGGAGGGGCGGCGCGTGAAGTCTTTCACTTCCTGCGCCCAACCTGCAAGCACCACACCACCCTTACAGGGTGGAGGCAGGGAGCTAGAGACTTTATGAGCTTCTCCTGCCCCCAAGCCCTGATTGGCCTGAGTGCGGGGAGCATGCAAAGTCTCCTCCTGTCCTGCAAGGGATGCATGGTGCTTAGAGTGAAAGTGCCATGCGCTCCTTGCACGGCAGGAGCAGAGAGCATGTGAAGTCTTCTCCCACCCTGCAAGGGGGCGGGTGCCTAGAGAGAGCTGCCAGCTGGCAGTTCTCTCTAGGTGGGGGAGTGTGGGGACAAAGACTTCACATGCTACCCTACCTCCAAGCCAATCAGGGTCCGTGGGAGGGGGAGCACAGAAGTGCCCTGGCCCTGCCCCTTCCTCCAGAGGTCCTGCCTCTTCCAGGGTGGCCCAGGTCCACTTCAAAAATTAGTGAAGTGCCCCCCTCCCCATCTAAAATTATTTCCCACCCCTGATGTAGTCTAATAATGATAAACTCCTTTTCATTAAGCAGAGTTTAATCTTTCAAGTCCCAATCTATCTGTCTCATCTGCAAAGATGAACCTTTACTCCTGTCTCAAAGGTGTAGCCGTGTTAGTCTGTTTCTATAAAAACAGCGTAGAGAAAAGAAGAAGTGGGTTTTGCCCACAAAAGCTCATGCTACACAGGACTACTCGTTGTTTTACCCCTGTATGGATCAGTTTCAGGATTGTATCCAAAGTTTTTTGTACAAAGCAACTAGCAATAGCATACAGAATATAGTTGACATTATCTTATATATCTATGTTATAATAGATGCTTAGATTGTATGTTTGCCTGCTTGTATTTCTGGTACTTTAACTTAAATATCGACCTGGAACAAAATTCAAAGATATTATAGCCTCTGAGGTAATGATTTTTATGAACTAGAATGAAATGGTTTTTTTGTTTGAGGAATATTAAGGGAATAAAGATCAACTAAGTTAA